TTATTTTGAGTAAACATATTGGAGAAAGGAGCATATATATAAATGTAAGACAATTTAATATTTGCTATCAATGATTGAATTTAGTAATTATATTAGATATTTACATAGGTAATATTATTTTAATAATTTTGTAATATTTTTAGTTATTTCATTTTGCATATATACAAACAACAAATCCCTTGGTTTCCTGGAGCATGCAACGTATAATAGTTCATGAGAAAACCATGGATTCACCAAATCCACTCCACATAATAGCAAGGATTGACCCTGTGATTTGTTTATCACTATAGCAAAAGCCAGTTTAATTGGAAATTTCAATTGTTTGAATTGGAAAGGCAATTCTGGTGGTATCAACGTTATATGTTGTATTAGCCCATCCTCTCCTTTCAATTTTAATAGAATATAATATTATTCTACAAACAATATGTTGTCGTTTTGGTGGTATTTTAAACGACATCAAAATGCAGTTCTACCACAGAGACTCAAAATGATAAATTAAACATTATTAGCTATACTTACAAAACATCACTTCATAAGTCAGAAAATCATCCCTATTAATATTGAAAAGTAAGAAACTATCAAAACATTTTTAAAAAACTAAACAAATGGAACTTCACAATTTTTTACTTTTTGGAAAAGTCATTGTATAAATTCACTTTTCCACATCCAAAATGTAATTGTTATATGTAAACAATGTTTGTAAATCTCAGGCCCTGAAGATGATCTCAATAAAGATCGAAACGTTAGCATGATAAAGAAAATGTTTTTCTGAAACCTACATCACACCAGACCGCATCTCACGATTTCTAAATAAATATCGATTAACGGTCACTAATCACCACACTTTTCTACTTTGTAAAAGTCAGAATGTTAAAAATTCTAATTGCCAAAACATCACTCGCGCATTTCATTTAAACTGATTTCTGTTAAACAATATTTCTCATTTTTTACATAATTGTAATTGTTCATGTACACACCCACTCGTTCGAATTAAAACATTCGCTTCCATGACATAATCTTTTGACTGCCAATCTTGTACCATTGAAAAACGGGTTCAATATTTCTAAGAAGAATAAGGAACACCAACCTTCAGATTAATGATGTGTGGTGGTAATCCAGATAAAACAAGTGAATTTAAGAATTCAGTTGCATAATTTACAACTTCATCTTCTGTAACAGTATATAATTGTTAATTTATATAAGTTCAAATCCGCAGGTGTTTGTGCATAAACACACACTTGTGCAGAGTTGAGCCTATCACTTCACGCAGTCCACCAGCAATTCCAGTTTGTAATTTACAGTAAATAACTGCAGGCATCGAGAATCACCCACCGTGGTTGGCCTCGTGGAGCTGCAAACAGCTAGATCGTTTCATCCCCCAACGCAATCAACGATGCTTTCTTATATTTCGATCTCAACAGTTTAATTTATGATTTTCCTTCTCGTAGGTGGGATAATAGGTCATCTCAAAAAAACAACAACCAGTTTTTCTTTCAATCCACAACGTTTCGGATTTATTTTAATCCTTCCTCAGGTGAGTTGACGCAGTGGTTAAAACAGTGGTCGTCACTCATTAATATTTTATAACAGTTTATTTTAAAAAAGAGCCAGTGTGGTACATATTTAAGTCTTTCAGTCTCCGAACAAACAGTCAGGTTCAAAATATTAAAACGTTTGTTCGGAGTCTGAAAGTCTTAAATATGTACCACACTGGCTCTTTTTTAAAATAAACTGTTACAAAATATTAAAGACTGACGACCACTGTTTTAACCACTGCGTTAACTCACCTGAGGAAGTATTAAAATAAATCCGAAACATTGTGGATTGAAAGAAAAACTGGTTGGTGTTTTCCTAAACTACTCCACTATAAGAGTATGTATTGATTTGTATATGTATTTTTAGTACATTCAGCTGTATAAACCGGGCGTTGCCCATGGGGATAATCTAAAGGTATTTTGATGAGAAAACAAACTACAAAAGGTTAGTTCATTAAATTTTATAAATTCATTAAAGCCATGACCAAAATTTGAAGCAGGTCATTAGGAGAGAAAAGTCAATTCTCAATCTCATCTATCAGTATTTTCAAAAATTGCAAAGATGAAAAAAAAACGAGAGGCTGTATAAAACTAACATAGATCTTTATATCAAAAAGCAACAAAACTTTGAATAGAGCTTCTCCAAATTGCTAAAGACTATGTGGCGTGTAGAAGAGTAAATAGAAAATAAGAAAACACAATAAAAAGTTGAAAAACAATTGAGAAGGAGAATGAAAATGTTAAAAGTTAATGCGTGGAGAGGCCCTTGAAATCCGACTCTGGCTAAAAAGAAACCAAATGAAATCTCTTCGGACGTATTCCTCAAGCATAAACTCTTTATGATTCTATAAAAACTTGAAAACTTCAAGCGTTCAATTACGCCTTTGACGATTCCTCTAATTATTTAAGAACCAGACTTGGCTTTTAGTTGCAAATTTAACAAACTAAAATATACACTCAAGTAAACAAAAGTGTTTATACAATGGATACAAAGGATTCATTTTTTAAGCCATACTGAATCAAATCATATTAATGAAACGCGAAATTCATTATTGAACAATAGAGCTAAATTATCATGAAATGAGAAAGGGGGGAAAAAATTGCTTCGTTTGATGAGCTGCTTATCATTTCACCCCGTAAAATAAATCCAATGAGCATGCACTAAGTTGATTAAATTAAATCCCTGATAGGCCTGGAAATTTTTTTACTTAAATAAAACCAATTTCACCAATTAACGAAACTAATTTCTTCCTAAATAGCTTATAATTAGCAATATTAATAATCGTTGTTGTTATAGCCATCGGTATAAGCAATTAAAGTAGTTTTTTTACATTGGTTTAAAAAATTATTAAATTAATGATTAATTTAATTTATTAAATTACGTTTCTCGCCATTTGATAACGATAACCAGTAAACCTTTAATAACAAAAAATTATATTATATATAATATATATAATGACATACGTAATAAGTGCATAATCAATTATATTAATAGTATAAACTTAAATGAAAATAACTACATAGTAATGACAATGTTTAAGGGATAAAAAAAACTGTTTGCCTAAGTTTATGGATAGCAGGAAAGTCGTTGGGGTCTCGGGGTTAACCGGTTAACTTAATTAATCCTCTTTAATCCCCTGTGAGCATAAATCAAAGGGTATTGGCAGGAGAATGGAAGAAAGGAGGTCTCAGGTCTGCCGGGGTAAGATAAGGAAGGGCTTATTCAATGATGCTTATTCGAGTATGACGCACGTCGCAGCCGGGATTTATGAGACGGACGTTTCTACATCATGTATGATACCGAATACCTTCTTATTATTATAAGTATTAATTTTTTCGGCCAAGAATGCCGACGTTGAATATTTAAAATTGCCACGTTTTATATTTCAAGAAATTTATATTGCGAAACGCAACTTTTCAGCTTTATACGTCACCTGGTTCTTATTCTGGTCCCTTTTTCAAGGAACCTGCTTCTTTTGTATAATAATGTCGTGCTTTATCCAATGGCGTTCTTGCAAACCGGAGCCGCAAACAACTTAATCTTATGTAACTATGTGTATAGCTAAGTTCTAATTTTCATTTCACATTTATAAGAGAAGCCATGTTCTTTGTGTCAAATAGGTAACGATTTTAACAACACTGCAACATGTTTTCGTTTTACTGTCATTATAAAACTCATAGGAATATTATTTTGATCTGAACTTCCAAAAATTATGGTCTTATTTACGTTCTTGTTTTCTTTTCAAGGCTTCGCAATGTTTCTCAGATGTTTCCAGTCCTAGCATTTACAGAAAAAGAAGACATTGATTCTTATCAGTTAATTAATCTTTATGTAAGGTATTGGTTGAGATAAAAAAGTCAGTTTCACGAGCGGGATTCGAACCCACGAACCTCGGCTAAATACGGCGCTGCTTTACCACTTGAGCTATCGTGACTTCGATCCACTCGAACACTAACTTCCCATCTCCACCTCACCTCTGGAATTTTCCCTACTTTTTGCCATTTTTCAAATTTCCTGTAATCTATTTGATTCTCGGCGACAAATGAAATGGCACTAGTGAAGATATACTTCATTTAACTTATTAAATTCATTAGATTTCGTAGTCCAATTGACCAAATAACATCTTTCAGTTAATTAATCTTTATGTAAGGTATTGGTTGGGATAAAAATGGCAAAAAAGAAGAAAAATTCGAAAGATGGGAAGTTAGTGTCCGAGTGGATCGAAGTCACGGTAACTCAACTGTTAGAGCAGCGGCGTATTTAGCCGAAGGTCGTGTGTTCGAATCCCGCTCATGACACTGACATTTTTATCTCAACCAATACTTTACATAAAGATTAAGTAATTGAAAAATGTCATTTGGTCAATTGGACCACGAAATGTAATGAATTGATTCTTATGTTACCTTGATACCTTTTAGCGTCCTAATAAAATTTAGACTAACTCCTTGCAAATGTGTTTTATATCAGGTTTGAAGGACGGTAACGTAACTTTAGTTCTATTTTCACGTTCTTATACTTACACTTTAACCATAATTAAATTCGATTAAAATTTATTCTTACTTTACGTTTTTCCCTATAATTTATAGGTATAAATATTTTGTTTACATAGTTCCTTACCAATAAAAATGCAAGTCAGTTTATATATCTTATATTAAATCCGATAAGTTTTAAATTATAGATTACTTTGGTAGGGTTAATTCCTCATTTATTCCCAAGGTGATATAATCAACTTAGATTTCTCAAAAGCTGTTTTAGTTGGTGGTTCATTGAAAGACTTTTCGTAACAGATATGATTATAATTCGCAGCTTTGTTCATAAGCATTCACGTGAAGTTAAATGGTTTTCAATACAGCTTTGTGCAGAAAGGATATTTACGTTAGTCTATAAGATTCATTCAATGAGTCTTCTCATCCTAAGGAACTTAAAGTAAAGCTTTATTTGACAAAATAATAGCATTTTGGTGCTTCTTTGTTAAACGTGTTTTTTATTGAATTGTTGGGAGTTTAAAAAAACGCCACGAGCCGAGAAATCGAGCAACTGAGGCGAGAACGGGAAGAGAAGCTGTCGGAGAGCACTTTCAAGGAACAGCAAGGACTCGATGGAGAGTCTGGAGCGCGCCCGGTCCGAGATCGAGGTGCTCAAGAACCAGATGTAATAGGTGAAAAGCGTCCCAGGGGTGTTCTTAAATCTGTTCTTACAAGGACGAGCACAAAATTTAAATTTTTCACAAAGTTTTAATTGAAAATTTAATCAATCAGAAGAAGAAGACAAGTTAACTGCCTTTTGGAGCCATGGAGTTGAGAAAAGCTCGGAAAGCAGGTGAGCGGGTCACCAGGTGTTTCTTGTTGGCGTCTCCCTCCTCGTCGACAGAGCTGTTTTCACTGTTCGAACTCTCCGCCCGGGTGGCCTCCAAGCTATAAATTTCATAAAATCATTTAAAAAGCCGAGCGGATTAAACGAAAGTGTCTCACCTGCCCGGGGTGTCCTGGACGGCGATGATGAGGTCGTTGAGGTTGTTGCAAATTGTTAGCGGACCGTCACCCAACGCGCTGATGTCACAGTGGAGAATGCAGTTGCTGCCGCAATGAGGAGTGTAGTTGTCCTCCCCTTCTTCAATAGTCCTCCGCCTTTCTTTTTCGTATTTCTGTTCCTCTTCTTCCCTGAGTCGTATTAGCTCCCTGAAAAAATAACTGTTATCGTTTTGTTTTGTCCCAGTTTAAAAATCTAACTGACGAATTTAACGACTCTTCGATGAACCGCTCAGTTTCTTTCTGATCGACGCCGTTCACTTTTTGGAGCATGTCGGTAGCAATTTTCACAGCGACGTCTCTTTCGGCTTTCATCTCTTTCATCATATTCTTGAGAAGGGCGACCTCGGTCCGAGCGCTCTTCAAACTTTCGACAATTTCTTGTTGTTCCTTGAAAGCCCTCTCTGACAGCTTCTCTTCCCGTTCTTGTCTCAGCTGCTCGATTTCTCGGCTCATGCCATTTTTTTCCTACAAAGAAAACCATTTCAATTTCTATGATTTAATAAAAAAAAGCCAGTTCATTCACTAACCTCTTGAATAATTTGTATTTGCGTTAGTCTTTCTTTGTTAGTTTGTAGCTCTCTTTCATTCATTGCCCGAATATTTTCTGCTGTATCTTGCTTTCCTACAGCTACAGCAACTTCCAGTTCTTCTTTAGATCTGTCAATAAATAAAAATATTCCTATAAACTACTAGTTGTAGCAACAACCAACAAATTTCAAATTTACGACAAAGAGTAATTTTATCTTCAACAAGTTTTAAAACCTTAAAAACAAAAGCAGCCTATATTAAGTGATTTTATATAACGTTGACGCTATTTTACGTATTTTTCATGGGGTACACTGCCATCTGAGAAAACATGTACATAACAAGGGCATATGTAATGATGATCCCATCCGAAGATTATGTGATGTGGAGGAGGAAATAGCCCCCATACCGTTTTCGAATAAAAAGCAACGGCTCAATGAAGACATAGCCTAGCAAACAGAAAAGATCTAGGGAATGAAATTGTAGCAACAACAATCAATGGCCTAATACTTCTGAGAAGAAGTATTGAGTCCAATCTGTCCGCGACTTTCGAACGGTGCCCATTGCTTACCGAAGAGACCCGACGTTAATCCTGTGTTACAAACAAATAAGTATAAAATTTCCTTTCCAAAATTTTTTTATTATATTGTTTCTTTCAAAGTGAGGTTTTTATTTCATTTTTTTCTCTTGTCTGGTTTCTTTTTAAATTTTGGTTGTCCTTTGGGCCAAGAATGACCGTACTGAAAGACGGGTTTGGTTGGGACCCCTTTAAAGGGGGAAAACGAGAGTACGGAAGAGGAAAAGTCTGGTAATACATGAGTTTAAATCTTAAGAGTGGCTTAGAGAATCAGAACAATCGGTTTTCAATGACCGACAATGGTCCTTTTCACGTTTATCTTGAAAATTTCCCAGGCCCAAGGCAATAGTGATTTAGGAGGGTTAGATTCATGCCGTGTTCGTCGAAAAATTAATATATGAAAATAAATAAGTAATTTTTAGGCCATTTCAGGGAACAAAGCTTTTGGCCAGCTCTGATTATCTTAAGAGTGAAAACATCAAAGCCGTCTTTTTTGATAGCCAGGGAGGGTGTAATTAGAGGGGCACCCAGAACTTTCTGGTACGGAATTATTACAAAGTATAAAACTAGGGAGTCTTATATGTAAATGTTATCAGTGAAAGATGGAAAAGTAAAGTTGATATACAAAATTCTGCGACGGATCCCGGCAATCAGATACGAAATGGGACGGTTCTTCTCACCCTTAAATGACAACGTTTTCCTGCATATATTCCAATTCATTAAGTACGATGTCAGGTCGAGCCTCTTGTCAAAAATGTGGTATTGTGGTTCAAATATTTGAGGTACGGCCACGGCCTGCAAAGGTACCTCAAGATGGTCACGAAAAAAGTCTGTGATCAGTTATCTACACTCTTTTTGCCCTAAAGGAATGCCCTGAATACGACAGACAAAGAAATATTAAAAAATTAATGGCATTACCAAATATATCTTATAATAATGCGATAAGAGTAGTAGATTAAAAAAAAATCCTTTTCAAATGGTACGGCGGCTCCTTCTCAGAAGGATCCTGTTATATTCTTTGCTTTACCCCATTCGTCTGTCATTACACATGCTGGGCCCTAAAAGACCTCCCAAAAGCTAAGAAATACATCTTATTCAGGAGAAGATATGGCCACAAACACAAAAACGACTTTATAGTCCAATCACCCTAACCCCCCAAAAATATTCCTGGAGGATTAATCCCTAAGAATCCGCATCGTGCAAATTTAAATAAAGATGTGAAAAGCTTACATTTTAACTACATCTGTGAATCTGTATACCGAGGTATCGTTAATTTATGAGTGAGTCAAAATGACGAGATTTCAAGCCTCCGAATTTACACAATATTAAACAATACAGCGTTCTGAGTGTCTCTGTTTCAAAAACAAGACTAGAATTCAGAACTATTATTAGGTTATATTTTCCCCATATCTGTTAATGCGTGTTTTCATAAAATTTCATGTTTTCTTTCCATGTTTTTGCCTGACTTTGATTCAAGTTTCGATTTTCTTCATTCTCAACGGTAAAATCTTTCAATATTAAGTTAAATTTCGTACAATGGAATGAATTCTAGGTCGATCATTCCCAAAAAAGGAAGTCTAGAAATCTTACTGGGTGAAAAAAATGTAAATCTAGCGTTATTATCCGAAACTTGGCTCAGAGCTTGTTCTCATTGTAAATTCAGCTCATTTCCATCTTCTTTGAAACGATAGGGAGTCGGAATACGAAGCAACCACGGACCGTGGGGTGCTCATAAGCACAGAATTGTTAGCTCTCTCAAATTTGCAACATGCGACTGCCCCGAAGATTTAAACCATATTTACAGAATTCGAGAACCCCAGACGTAAATTGTTAATTGGTATTGATGCCCTAACAGGTCTGGGCAGACCCTTTTCTCTAGAGAGTCAATAACCAGGGGGAGAAAAGATGTGAATAAACTGTTAATTTGTTCTGTTTATGACTTCAACTCTAAATTTATAAAATATGAGAGTCGGGGGCTGGGGCGGTCCCACCCTCTCGGGATGGTCGGCTCGTCTGGGGGGCTGTCGGGTTGGACAGTTGGCGATCTCGGGCACGTTAAGTCCCGGGGACTTTTCCATAGCGCTGCGTGCAATATAATTGGTATTTATCTACATCCCCCCGGGTACGTCCGTGATAGTGAAAAATACTCCATTTAGTAGAGATGCATGGCGGTCCGTTTCGGCGGCGACAATGGCCGGGTTGGGCGCCCAGGGTGGTCGGGGTTGCTTATCCGGTCCTTCCACCACTGATAAAACTGCATGGCTGATGCGATAATGCAAAGCATTGAGTCGATTGCACTGAACTAGGAAACCTGGGGGGGAGGACAAACCCCACTTTCTAGGTCATCATCATCAAGGATTTTGTTACTAACTGTCCTCTGGGGAGTTTGTAGGTTAGCAAGCTTGTGAACAAAGGCAGCGATCACGGATCATACGGATTTTCTCTTGAATACTGACGATAATTTCGGCAAATGCTGATCATTAGAACGTACAAAGTGAACATTAATTGCCGGGCAATTCGGTAAAAGTTCACTTTAAATGAAATTGGGGACGAAAAGTGTCAAAAACTCTTAATAAAAAAATGCTTTGTTAAATTGTATTTAGGCGGATCAAGCAAAAGGTCTGTTTTACACAATTGCTTAGGTTCTATAAAAGGAAAAGTTTATTCCTAGCTAAAAGTCATTCCTACCTCTCTGTACATAAAACAGCCAAATATTTTAATGTTGGAATACCAAATAACATTCATAGGAATCGGAATTCATGAAAACTTGTAAGATTTATACAATTTTTACCATAAAATAAACAATTTTATTATATTTCTATATATAAATATTTTTTAAATTGAACAATATCTTCCACAAAAAACTCCATCGTTGATTTAATCGTCACCTATTAATAAGCACGCTATTCCAAGACAAATAGCATAGCACGTTATTTTAGATAGTGTTCCGTTAAATCAGCGCATGCCATCAATCAATCTCCTGTTACCGTTCACGATACCGTTATGCAAAATCTCCCTATTAAGTTGAATTCACAACATTAATAGTTTTGCTGCTTAATTTTCATAATTCCAATTAAAATGTTCCGTTTATTACCAACCATAAAGAAATTTTAGCGTAGTACATCTAGATAATGAAATATAATTAAACAATTCCAAAATAATCTGTAAATAATTGAATAACCAACATAATCGATGGCATGGTGTTCACGTTGATCATTTGTTATATAGGAGTTAGCAAATGTTTCCAAATGAATCTTTTATAAAATTTATAAACATTACCACATAATATTGGTTATAATTAAGGTTTTCTTTTTAGTTGAGATAAAAAAGTCAATGGCACGAGCGGGATTCGAACCCATGATCTTCGGCTTGATACGCCGCTGCTCTACCATTTGAGCTATCGTGACCACGATCCACTCGGACACCAACTTCCCATCGCAACCATTTGAAAAATGGCAAAAAGGGAGGGAAAATTCAAAAAGGTGCGGTTGAGATGGAAAGTTGGTGTCCGAGTGGATCGAGGTCACGATAGCTCAAGTGGTAGAGCAGCGGCGTATCAAGCCGAAAATCGTGGGTTCGAATCCCGCTCGTGCCATTGACTTTTTTATCTCAACTAAAAAATAAAACCTTAATTAATTATAATATATTAATTGATCAAGCGGACCACGAAATTAGTGAATTTAATAATATTGGTTGTAATAATCAGCTCCGGGGCATTAATTAATTTTATACAGAATCGTAAAACTGTACTGTTTACTTAATGCAGTAAAGGTAACAGCAATTAATTTTAATAAATGGTACGAATTTTCACTACATTAGTTGATATATATTTTAAATTACGAATATACCTATTTGCTAGGTCCAGTTCAGACTTCAACGTTTCTAAAGTCGTTTTTAGATCTTCTGTTTCACATTTTACCATTTTTATTCTACATGAAAAAATCATACGTAAGTATCTTGAATATTTTTTTATAAATTATTATTTATTGTTCATACTGACCTTTCTTTCTGACAAGGTGATGGTAATAGCAAACTCCAAAAGAGTGATGACGAAAGAGTTTTTCCGGATCTCTCATCTTCGTCTGGCTCCTTCTCATCAGAAAACTAGATCAAGTCAATCATTCACAAAAACCACGCATGTTTTTACCTACCTTATTGGTGAACGCGGATATCACGAAAGAGACGATTATCAATGCGGCAAGGACGACATACACACCCCTCGAGTGAAGTACCGATATCAATTCGCTAAATGTTATCAGAGGATTCTCGGAAAAATCTGCAAATTCTATAATAAAAATAAAAATAAAAAGTTTGTAGTTTATTCAGACCGTACCTTGCGACAATTCGACGGCTTTTGCTGATGAAAGGCTGAGAAGTATGAGGAACTTAGACATTGTTCGCGTTATCCGTTCGACTCGATGAGCATCTCGTCCTCACTTTAAATTTGACTTTCAGGCCTAACACGTTTTATTTTTCTGAACAATTTTGAACATTATTGATGTAATAAAATCAGATGGAGCCGAGGAAATGGAATTTTTGTCAACAACTGTTCGATTTAAAACAATATGTGATGCACTTTTATTAATACTGCTAAATCATTACAATTTTAAATAAATAATTTCCGAAACTGTTCTAACATTAATCATAATGAAACCAATTGGTAACACTATTCAAGTTTACAAAACAGTAAAATTTAATGCTAACTTTCATTATAATTGCAGACAAACCTTCAAAGGTTTAATAAAAATAAAATTAATTATCTTTTTATGTAAGGTCGTGGTTGAAATGAAAAGTCTAATGTCACGAATGGGATTCGAACCACGATCTTCGGCTTCATACGCCGCTGCTCTAAACACTTGAGCGATCGTGACTTCGATCCACTCGGACCCCAACTCCCCGTCTCAACCTTCCAAAAACTATCAAGTCAAGTCCAAAAATGGCAAAAAGGGGAGAAAATTCGAAAGGTTGTAGGTTGAATTGGAGAGTTAGTATCCGAGTGGATTGAAGTCACGATCGCTCAAGTGTTTAGAGCAGCGGCGTATGGAGCCGAAGATCGTGGGTTCGAACCCGCTCGAGACACTAGCTTTTTCATTTCAACCAAGTCCTTACGTAAAAAGATTAATTGATTGAAAGAAGTAATTTGGTCAATCAGATTACTAAATATAATGGAAATAATAAAAATTTAAAGAAGATACCAGCAAGAGAAGACTTATTGGCTTAGGATAAATTAAACTCAAGAAAAATAAACCCACATACCCTTCTCGAGCCTCCCCTTCATGAAGCAAGGCCGAGGAGAAAGATAAGCTCAAACATTTCCCCCTTTTCATGTCATACTTAGTTTTTAGTTTGGCGTTGTCCACGGTGTAGGGTTTCCCTAAGGTACGGCGGGGTGGTGGATGGGAAAAAACCGAGACAATCAGATTTTATAAATAAAGTCATTCCTGTCATACATGAAGGCTTAAGGTCCGTTGGGTGTCGCTGATGAGGGTCAAACCAATTTACCATATTTTTTTCCATACAATCGGACACACAACCATTCGGCCACTGCATTGTGCATAATCAGCATTTGTAGACTAATGAATTTATATGAATTTTTAAAAATAGTTGAACTTAAAAACTGAAAATTTCTCAAAGAAGAAGGAGATAAATTTTTTTTAGAAGATCCATTTTTTCCCTCGGATTGCATTCACCACTGTTATACAGGCTTATGACTTATTTCTTATCTAAAAGCAATTTACTATAATAAGGTTTTAAAAAATATTATATACTAATCGAATGTATTCGGAGTGGATTAAAAATAAAATTGTTAGTCATGTTTCTTTTAGTAAATGCTGGGTTTTGGTCAGTTCCTCACTGAAGATGGCGCAATGCCGAAGCGCGTTCGAATAACTCAAACAAAACAACCCGTGAGTGGAGACTGACCCATAAGTGGCCGTGTGCCGGTTCAACATTATGTTTCTTTTTATAAATTTTCTACAAAATAAATCAGCCATGGTGTACATAATTGTAATATTTATTGTAACCATTTTGGTTTTTTAATAAATATAGTCTAATTTTTCCTCCTGTTTTCAAAATGTCGGGATTTTCTTCCTATAATTCGCAAACCAAATTTACGTTTCAAGAAACAAATGCAACATATACATCAGAACCACATATATCACTAGAAAATGAAATTATAAGTTTTAGTTATTACGGTCTCTACTCTTCTAATTGATAGTGTCTAAAAAATAAATGATACAAATAAATGTAATTTATTATTATATATTCATTTATTTTAATTATGGTTTTCGAATGTAATAACTGCCAAAAGCTTCGCGCTAGTGCAATAATTATCATTCTTGGACTGCACCCCTAATTCCAAAAAGAATCAATTTTGGAGAATAGTATCGTTTGCTTATTAAACCTTCGTACTATATAATTTAATTTAAACTATTTAACCTGTACATAAATAAAATATACATAATTCATTTACTCTACCTGATAATTTGTTCGCGAAATTTTGAAAAAATCACGAAGCTCTAAATTTATTATACAGCAAATAAATTTCTTATAACAGATTGCATACAGTAAGTAAATTTTAAAAAAAATGTGAGGGGCGTCGGTGGCCGCAACGGTTGGGTGTTGACACGGCGCTCATCATAGTAAGGTAAAGGTCTTGGGTTCGAAACCAGCGGCCCTGCATCGAATAAATGCTTTTTTAACAGCATCGGCACCCTGAGGTTTGATATTACCTCTGCTGTTGTGAACCCTCGTCGAAAAAAAACAAAAAAATAATGTGTTATATGTAGTAGTATCATTAACTAAATTTAAATTCGTCTCAACACGACACGAACAGTGGCAAATCTACACAGAAAACACACATTTTGAGTGAGCACAAATAACCACCAAATATAGAAATTAACCCTAAAATTTCATGATTTACACATATTAATCCCAGGTGCTGAAGATGATCTGGGTAAAGATCGAAACGTTGGCACGATAAAGAAAATGTTTTTCTAAACCTACGTCACATCAGACCGCATCTCACGATCTCTAAATAATATTAAATAACCAATAGTAAAACGTGAATTATGAAAGACACATAAACGTCTATTACATATTTTTACAAACACGTAAAATTCTATGGGAATATAACAAGCACTCTGTTTAAGATTTAAATCTGAGGACTGTCTTATTCAGAAAAAATTAATGTTTGAGAACGAAGGTTGAATTTATATTAGCTCTCAGCATTTCTGATCCCGCGCATCTTTTTCACGAGATATTTGCATCGTCAATTTCACTTGAATCTCTCTAAAGTGATATAAAGCAGAGGAGGATCTTTCCATTATTTACCATTGAATCGCCGGACCCTTCAGTGGTTCTTTTTTGAACGGATAAATTATTGGTCCTATTCAAAATTAATGTTCAATTTACTTTTGAGAAAGTGCAAACCTTGCTTAAACAAAACCAGAGTCTCAGAGGCGAGTTAATAGGCCCTTAGAAACCCTAGAGTCGGAGTTGAGAAGAAATCACTAGAGAGAAAGGAGCTCGTTTTAAAATCACATGCCGTTTGTCATTGTCGGCAAGGACATTGTTATTACCTTTTCACTACAGTCAAGAACAAACCGCCTGTTCACAATTGGCTAATTTGATCGATGCGGCCGTTAACCACCGTTGTCGCCATAATTGCAAACCGTGCTAATCCAAATTAATACTGATTGTAAAAAACTCCTAATGATTCATTCTTGTTACCAGTTACTATTTGGTGATCGTGAGATGCAGTCTGGTGTGACGTAGGTTTTAGAAAAATATTTTCTTTATCGTGTTAACGTTTCGATCTTTATTGAGATCATCATCAGGGACTGGGATTTATAAACATTGTTTAAATTTTACAAATACATGGAAGATGTGAAAAACGTGAATTTATACAATACTACTTGTATAGTACTTCACTAAAGCTCTCCGTGGCCATTTCATTTGTCGTCCAGAACCCAATCCGATTACACGACATTTGAAAAATGGAAAAGAGGAGGGAAAATTCAAAAGGTGGGGTTGAGATGGGAAGTTAGTGTCCGAGTGGATCGAGGTCACGATAGCTCAAGTGGTAGAGCAGCGGCGTATCTAGCCGAAGATCGTGGGTCGAATCCCGCTCGTATCACCGACTTTTTTATCTCAACTAAAAACCTTAATGTTATTAGTGATAGTAGATGGTGCTAGTGTTGAGATGTTTTAGGGGTGAGAGGTTTAAACTTTACCTTCGATTTCTTGACCCTGACACTGTCATCTCACTCAAATGTCCTACTGGAGCAATTGAAAAAGGCTTGAGAATAAGATTAATTTCAAATAGAATCAAGAAGGAAAAAATGAACTGAAAGCGAAAATTATGCGTAGCAGAATGAAAGGTCTTAATCCTACTTGTTGTGCAAATGGGATTAACCAGTACAAATGAGAACAAAGGAAGCAAACAAAGCATTATTTGCTGTTTATTTTGACTACTATAGTTCTTAATTACCTCTTACTGATGGAGAAAGATAATGGATTTAATTTTAAACCAAATAAATTTAGTTTGTTGTTACCCCTAATAAGAGGGAATTTATTTACCACATGCTCCCTATGACATATTACATGTGCTTTACAATCAATGATATATTCATCAATTTTACATATAATTATTAGCATTGCTCGTAGATGGCTTGAATTAACATTATTATATCTGTAATATTTTTAATTAAATCAAGGTTGAGTTTTTTTATAAATGACAAAAAAATATTTTTTAAATGTATTAATTAATTATAAAAATGTTGGTGGCCATTATTCTCCTTGTAATACTACTGCACGTATCAAATAGGATCGTTCCTTGTCGATGGAATACCAAAACTGGAACGTCTGGTACAGTCAAATATAATGTGTCCCCAATTTTGGGCTTGCGCATCCGCACGTGTCATCCTCGACGATCTTGAACCTTTTTAAACGTGCTTTATTTTTTCCGTGACCAGAGAAAATCTGTGTGGTCCCTAATCATCCCTAATAAATTATCTGGTGTGTTAAATTTGTCCATTAGTGTAGTTTGGCGATAGTCACAATTTGTATGCATTTGATGTCTTGTCATATGATCACGGCTATTTTTTTTTTTTTGGGGGGGGGAATGTGGTTTCATGGTCGTGCTTTTTTTTAAAATTTCGTATAATGGTCTTTATTTATGAAATTTTTTAGACAATTGCGTATATCCACACTGTAGTATCATTTTGCTGTGATAACACTTGCAGTGATTGTCTTGTACTTTTTGTATGGAGGGTAAAAGTTTATCGTACTTTTTCTGTCTATCGTTCTGTGCGCGAGGTTTATGTATTGGCTAATTTTGATGACTGGTCTTTGGGTACCAAAGTATGCACGAGCGGGATTCGAACCCACGACCTTCGGCTAAATACGCCGCTGCTCTACCACTTGATCTATCATGACTTCGATCCACTCAGACACCAACTTCCCATCTCAACCCAACTTTTGAATTTTCACGTGGGTTCGAATCCCGCTCGTGACACTGACTTTTTTAAGTCAATCAATACCTTGCATAAAGATTAATTATTTGATAGCAGTGCGTAGAGATGGTTT